TAAAATTGATGTGATATATAAGAATAATTGTTTGATATTATTTAATTATATTAATAACATTGAAGATAGTGGAGTTGAGTTAAACTTGAGTTAGATTTGGAAAGAATATAGGATACCATACCGGGTCGATCGAACCCGAGAAACTAGCCAACCTGATCGAATGAGCAGATAGATTGATATGTGCTTCAGGTCAAACGGAGACCTTAGGTCGAACAGGTCCTCAGGTCAAACAGAGTCATCAGGTCTAACGGGGACTCATGTTAAACGAGGTCCTCATGCTAAACGGAGACCTCAGGTCAAACAGAGTCATTAGGTTGACTAGATCCTCTAGTCAAACAGAGTCATCAGGTCAAACGGAGACCTCAAGTCAAACAGTGTCATCAGGTCAAACGGAGACCTAAGGTCGAACAGGACCTCAGGTCAAACGGAGACCTCAGTTCGAGCAGGTCTTCACGTCAAACGGAGACCTCAACTTAAACGAAGTCATCAGGTCGAATAGGTCCCCAAGTCAAATGGAGACCTCAGGTCGGACAGATTATTAGGTCAGACGAGTTCCTCACGTCAAACGGAGATCTCAGTTTGAACAGGTCATCAGGTCAAACGAGGTCCTCAAGTCGAATAGGGCCTCAAGTCCAATAGGTCCTCAGGTCAAACGGAGACCTCAGGTCACACAGGTCATCAGGTCAAACGAGGTCCTCAGGTCAAACGGAGACCTCATGTCGAACAGGTCATTAGGTCAAACGGGGTCCTCATGTCAAACGGTGTCCTCAGGTCGAACAGGTCCTCAGGACTAAAGGATAAGAAAGAATATTATTAAGATAAGAGCCACCCGTGGATAGGGCCATGTGGCCTAACAGAATTGAGCAGTTCGAGCAATTTGGGCAGTACGAACGAAGAGTTCGGGCAGTCTACATCCGGGCATTCTTGCGTAACAAGGTAATACATCCCTATATAAAGGGGCAAGGTATGTTCATTGCAAGGACCTTCTATATGCATTTTGAATATACAGTATATGCTACTGTACATCATCTTCATTGACGCTTTGACTTGATCATCGGAGGCTCTACGCCGGGGAACACCCCCGGCGTGGAGTTTTTACTGGTTTAACAGGTCACCAATCGACGAGAAGGTAGATCAGCTCGAATCTAACCGGTCGGAGGTCTCTTACACACAATTTCTCTATATTAAATAAAATTATTTTAAAAAATAAATTTCTCTATATAAAATTTCTAAGTACGAAATTATATAGTCAAGTAATAATTGAAGTTATAAGATTTTATAGTCATTGGAATATAAAATTACTAAAAAAATTTATTAATTAAATTATTATATATGTTGAGGAAAATGAACTAAATAACTAAATATATACAAAAGAAAATTAAAATTCAAAATAAAATATTTACCATGAAAAATTTGTGTTGCACAAGAGATAAAAGTTACTAAAAATTAAAAGTTAACTATCATAAGTTAGTATTTCATGCAATTAGAGTGATTATAGATGAAAATTAATTTTATGGATTAAAAGTTGGTCAATTATCGGGCAATATGCAAAATATGAATTGCTAAGGAAAGTATAAGATTAATATAAACGATAATTATATAAGTACATGCAAGTAATTAGTATACAATCATTATATTTTAAATCTTAACCAATTAAATTCATACCTACAAAAATAAATTAGAAAAATAAAAAGTAAAATATGTAAAGAAATATTTATTATTACAGACCTGATATGTTATGTCGAATAGAATAGACATACTATCTTAAATAATTTAATAATATTTAATAAAAATATTTTTTATATTGTATTCCGTGAATCGCACGGGTAACAACACTAGTTAAGAGAAATGCTATAGGTACATAATATTGTACATAGGGGTGTATATAACACTCATATTGAGTGGGGCCGACAAAAATAAAAAATCAAGTGGACCCCACTCAATGTGAGTGTTATGTATACATCTATGTACATTTATTATGTACTTGTAGCATTTTTCGTTAACAGAAAAATCAATCTCTTTCAATACATATAGACGTCTTCTTTGAAGACCTTCCTTTTTTTCTATTTTTGCTTCATCTATGACGTCAGTCTGGTTCTATATATGTTATTTAAAATAATTTGAATATTTCGTTCTGTTNTATTTTTGAAGTATATTGATATTTTTGGAACTCTCACCTTACTGTCTATGGGATTTTAGTTTTTTGTAGAGCAGTTTTAGCTAGCCCAATATATTTGGGCTGACATATAAAAAACAAAATTTAGGTTTATATACAAAAAAAGGGGGCATTCCGAGAATCGAACTCGGGACCTCTCGCACCCAAAGCGAGAATCATACCACTAGACCAAATGCCCTGTTTAGTTTTGGTAAAATTAGTAATTATTTATAACATTTCAAAACAAAACGTAGAACAGTTGTCCAACAGGTAATATATAAACATGTTTGAACTTGGAAGTAAGTTGGATTGAAAAACACAATCGTTTAAACAGGTCGATATACTATCCGAAAATGGTCAAAAGATATATGTAGTCAAAAATGGTAGTCATGTAAAAAATTTATATATATTAATTGGAATACTAATCCCAAAATATAAAATAATTGAAATGGAAAGTCTAACTTAGAGCGACATTTGATATAAAAATAGAGTAGAAACTATGATATAAATCAATAATTGTATATTTCAAATCACTATAATTACTTTTCAAATTAAAATTGATAATTCATTCATCTTTCAATACAAATTTAGTAAAATTTCTTTCTTTATAAGATATAACTTAAAAGAAATGATAGACTACAAAATGTAGAATAAAGAAAAAATCCAAATATTTTGAAAGGTAGTTGTTGAGTATGCTCCACAGCTGTCATCCTCATAAATAATAGATATACACCTACAAGAAAAAGTGAGATTCCAAGAAAAAATTGCCATCATTATTTTGGCACCCACATGACTTGCCTACAAGCTAAGACTCTACTCTAATCTATTGTAGACTTTAGTCTAGAGTAGAAAATGTTAAAATTTATTTTTTGTTTTTTGTCGTCCGTAGTGCATTTTATTCTATATGAAATATATTCTTACAGAATAAAATTTAAAGATAACTATAAAATCAAAATTAAAAATATTTACTAAAAATAAATAATTTTATTGATGTATATTTTATCAAAATAATATTTAGAGATAAAAATCAATTAAAAATTTGAAAAATAAAATTTGTAGCACAATGAATAGTATCACGCTATATGTAGCGAAATATTGTTTAATGTTTACATTTTCAGAATAGTGCGAAAATGTAGCCTAGTATTGAAACAAGTTATTCGCACTACTCTAAGGTAGAATAGCATTGTGGCGTAGAGATGAAGCAGTGTACAAATTCATGCTACTTGCTCTATAATTACCCTTTGTCCTTTCCATTAAATTCTCTTGTATAGTTCATAGTTGTATTTGACAAGTGAACCTTCAAAAACAAAGTTTAGTTCAATCATATTAGCCTCTTCAATTTTTTTCTGAAGCAGTAAAAATAGTATACTCATTTTACAGAATAAGAATTTAGAATTTTCTTTTATTTGGCCCATTGGCTTGGCCATTAAGCAAAAATATTTTCTAGTTCTATTGCTTTTTTTTATTATTATTATTGATTGAAAATTGCACGAGTATCACGGTAGAATAGGGAATGTTGTCTTGCATCTTTGCGAAGAGTCTCATTCTTTTTCTTCAGTTTCATCTCCTATCCCAAATACTTCTACATTTAATGTTTTTTTTTTTAATTTATATTTTGATATTCTTATTTAACTTTTTTGTAGTTATGTCATACATATTGAGGTCCCAAACCAATAGAGTTTATCTTTCAAATTATAAAATGATAGTTAGCCATATTCATAGCCTAAAATGATAGAAACTGTAGTTTTGAATTGATAATTTTAAATCTTTCGATTTTAAATCAATAAAAATATCTCTAAAAAATCTCTAATCAGTAATTGGGCTATTTTAGAGATACATATCAATAAAATTCAATTCGTTCTGATGATATAATTTAAAAAAGTAATACAAACTATAAAGTGTATAGCCAAATGAAGATCACAATATTCTAAAAAGAAAAATTATACATTGACATTAAGATATAGGTTGAAAACACAAGTAGAAATATTCACTTGTGTACTTTTTTATTTTTATTTATGTAGATATTTTTACTTGTGTTGTTAAACTAGTTTGACAATGTAATCGTTATTCTTCTAAAAATGAAAGATACTTTGCTTTATTATGAGTATGTTCCCAGCTGTCATCCTCATAAATAATAAATATGTACCTCCTATAAAAAAAACAATTCCAAGAAAAAAAGTGTTTGTCATCTTTATTTTGCCACTAGTATCCAAAAATGACTTGTCTACACGCAAGTGTATACAATTCATGCTACTTGCTCTATTTTACCATTAGTATATTCCATTAAATTTCAAAGCTTTGTATTTGATTTGACAAGTCAACCCTCTAAATATAAATAATATATTTATAAATTTATTTATATATGACTATTGAGATATAACAAAATATAATGGATAATAAGTTTTACAAATTCAAGTGATACTAATTAATTAGTTGAAAAACAAAAATATTAAATGGTTATAATAATTATTTATGCAATTTTAAAAGGTTTGCTAGATATTAGCAAAACTGTTTAATGAGATAATAATAGAAAGATAGTACATTAATTTAAAAAATAATAATTTAAAGAAAAAGTTTTGCTATAATTTTTTTATATATAACTTGTATAAACTATTAGCATGAATTTATAATGAGTTAATATTAGTAGTAATTATTATATAATAAATTAATTAAAAAATATTATTATAATTAATTAATATAAAACGCAAATGTCTATAATTAAATGAAAAAAAAAGCAGAAAAATGTGATTAATTCTATACATGCGTTTTCAATCCCCCCTTGGCGCGTAGGATATATTTTAATTTTTATTGTTGACTGAAAATTGCATAAGTATCACGATGGAACAGTGGGAATAGTCTTGCATTTTTTGTGAAGAGGGAATCTCTCTTTTTCTTCAGTTTCATTTCCTCTCCCAAATTGTGTTCTGTCTCTTTGATCTTTCTCTATATACAATTTCTAAGTACGAAATTTGAGCGTGTGCTAACATCAGTTCGTCTCGAATTATTCTACTTGCGATTATCTTTTATAGTACTAATCGTTTTTTTTTTTTTTCAATAATCAGTGTGGAGGAAGTAGTGCATTTTCTCAGTTTCTCTTCTGAGGCGTCAAACGGAGCACGGCAAATTGATTTTATTGAGGATCATCTGATTCTGTGCGTGTGATTGTGTTTAATTCCTTTTATTCACTATAATTTCTAGTGTTCGTGATTTTATTTTCAATTTTTAAATTTTTATTTACTTTTTTTCCCCAAATTTCTGCGTTTGGAAAATTCAAGAAAAAAGTCGTTTTTATTTCATTTGTGCCTTCGGCAGTGTGTTTCATTTGTGGAAAAAAAATATGTTTCATGTTTAAAATGCATGAGTTTATTTGTTTATATCTCTTACACAATCGATGTCAATGAGATATGTAATGTTTTCTTGCACAGGGTTGGGGTTTTTGTGCTCTGTCCATAACCCTAGGGAGAAACATGGTAATCCTGTTCAATTTTTTCTCACTTCACATTCAATGTTTCTTTGTATTTATATTTCTGTCTGTTGTCTTATGCCAAATTTCATGTTTGCAGAATGGAAACATGACTGGAGAGGAGGATAGTGATATTGATTGGAACACTGACGATGAGCTGGAAATTCTGTCAGGAACATTTACATCGTCTCAGCCCACTCTAGTTATGAGCAATGGGGAGTTAAAAGAAAAGGTTATATACATCTGTTTCGATGGGTTTGAATGCTTTGGATCTTAGGATTCATTAACTATAACTGTGTCTTTTTTTTTTTTGTAGGCAAGCTCATCAGGTGTTTCCAATGTCAGTTTGATTGAGCATTTTGTTGCGATGGGATTCTCAGAGAAACTGGTCGCCAAGGCCATTGAGGATACTGGTAAACAATATTCTTTTCTTCTTCTTATTATTGTTATTATTTCCTGGTAAAGAATGTTCGATATATATTTGTTTGTTGTTGAAAGATTGGTTTATCCTGCAGGAGTTGGAGATAATGAAGCTATCCTCAATACCCTTCTAACATTCGCGGTGAGCAATGTTTGGCTAGTAGTCACACATATCTGGAATGCATATTGTTCTTTTAGGGAGAGGAGTCCTAATTTTTCCAATCAATTGTTGTTGTTTGGGATGGTCATTATGTAACTGAATTTTGCATGGTCAGATTATTATATATATTGTCCTTAGTCTGTTCATTCACTTAAGCTAGTCTTTTATCTTCTTACTCCTTTGATGCCTGAACGATCAATAAACAGTATTAAAAGAAGTTATAGAAGTCATCAAGTTCAAATGTTGGCACTTGCCATTGGATCAATGAGCTGATTTGGTCCATTCAAGTTTATTTATTATAATTATTTGATGAAAATGTGCCTACTTGTGCATTTAATATGTATTGTAAGACTTTGAACAAGTTGCACCATTGAAGAAGATTAATTTTACCTGTAATGATGATCTATGACCTGGACAGGGTAAAAAAAACTTGGAGAATGACTGGATATGTTTTGATATTGATTATTTTCTATCAATGAAATTTTCTCCACAAAATGAGTTTTGTTTTGAAAATTTTATGTAAAGAATTACACTATTCACTTGTCTGGTGATTTTTCTTCCACCAACACATTGACCCACTTTTCAAAGAAACCATAATTTCATCAATCATTATTACACATTTTTCCACATCCTTTTCCATATACCTTCTCGCATATTGTTAACCATCAATCATACCGAATCATTTATGGCATTATGTTTTGCAGAGTCTTGAAGAGTCCCCTGAGCAACCGCAACAACCGCTAACCACAACTTCTGATCCTAGCTCTTCGGATGACAATGAAATGCTTGATGAACTTTCCGATGAGGGTAGCTGGTCCGAAATTGATGTATGCAATTAATCCTCTCTTTTGCAACTTTTTTTTTTCTTCCTGCAGATGCATGCATGAGATAATATTAGCAATTTATAGCTCAATGCATTTACTACTTGTTCATGCCCCATTAGTTTGTTCCGAAGCAAATACATTCTGAAACCAGAAAGTAAGCAATGTTTGGTTCTGTTTCTGTTCTATTGTTTTTCTTTCTTTTTATTTTATATGGATATATTTAAACGACCTGTAGATGCCATTGTGTATGTTGTATATCTATGGCCTCTATCATGACTTTGTGACTTACTTTCTTCCCCTTCTTTTTTTCATATAGTGACCGCAAGTTTTTGTTACGCCATTAATCTTCTTCCTACAAAGTGCAATATATATGGCTTCAGACTACGGATGCTCTGATGTCTCTTTGTAACTTTGCTTCTCATTGTTTTCTATTGTGTTTATCAATCTCGAGTTACATCATTTATCTTCTTTTGAATCACCGAGTGTAATAGAACTAAAGGGTCATTCCATCATTAGTTTTTCCTTTTCCCAATATGATACCAGTTTTGCTACCTGCTTTGAATGAATCTTTTCTTTTTTGCCAGTATCAACAATTTGAGGGAAGTAAAAACTTATATCTGTTCACCAAGGAAAAGCGTTTCTTTTTTTTCTTTTGTTTCTTTTTAAGAATCTAATTGCCCTAAGAGAATGCTTATCATATAATGTTGGAACTTATTGTCGGTGTTCTTTGTTGTCCAAATCACGAACTATTGACACTTTCTTATTGAGTTGGCTGACTGAGGTCTGTGTCTTTATTGAAACTTTCTACTCTATAACAACTGTAAGTTATTGACATTTATTAGTCTAGGCATCTGAGATTATTTTGGCACATTTTCTACCTGACATTTATGCAGGAAAAACCTGCTATAGTGTCTGAGGAGCACAAAAGATTGTTAATGTTGTCCGATACGGGATCATTTACGGATGCTTTGATATCTCGGCGTAACTTTGTTTCTCATTGTTTTCTATTGTGTTTATGAATCTCGAGTTATATCATTTACTTCTTTTGAATCACTGAGTGTAATAGAACTAAAGGGCCATTCCATCATTAGTTTTTCTTTTTCCCAACATGATACCAGATTACCAGTTTTGCTACCTGCTTTGAATGGATTTTATTGGCCTGTATCAACAAATTGAGGGAAGTACGAACTTGTATCTGTTCACCAAGGAATATGTTTCTTTTTTTCTTTTGTTTCTTTTTAAGAATCTAATTGCCTTAACTGAATGCTTATCAGATAATGTTGGAACTTACTGTCGGTGTTCTTTGTTGTCCAAATCACAAACTATTGACACTTTCTTATTGAGTTGGCATTTCTCATGTAGGAAAAACCTGCTCTAGTGTCTGAGGAACACAAAACGTTGTTAATGTTGGCCGATACGGGATCAATATCTGAGGAGGACAAAAAACTGCTAACCTTGGCAAACATGGGATTCTCAGTGGAAGAGGCAAGGATAGCCATGAAAAGATGTGGTGAGTACACAAAAAAGGCTACTAATTACATTTTCCCTCTCGCTCTTGCATTTGATTTACGTCTTTGCTGTCTCTCACCTATTTCTAAATCTCTCATTTCATCTTCTTACCTCGTCATTCGTTTCAAGGCCCTGAAGAGCCACTCTCCGTCTTGGTGGATTGCATACATGCTGCCCAAATGGTTCGAGAGGCAGACTACTATATGCCAGAAGAAGATCTCAAGGTTCAACTTTCTCCTAAATCATTTTTTCAATAATAATAATATTAATAATGGATTAAATTTCCAACTTTCTCCACAGCCGAAGCGCCTACTCGTGGGAAGTAGCAGCAAAAAGAGAAAATATCGCGAAACGTGCAAGAAGAAGGAAGTGGTCGAGGACCTCATCCGCCTGCCGAAGCCCATGATAGGCTTCGGCGTCCCGTCCCGCCAGCCCGAGCACAAAATCTCCCGCAACTTGCCAGAGGTGGCGCGGGGCCCACCATACTTCTACTACGAGAACGTGGCCCTCGCTCCAAAGGGAGTCTGGGAAAAAATATCCACGTGCCTATTGGAGATTGAGCCCGAGTTTGTCGACTCCAAGTACTTCAGCGCCACCGCTCGCAAACGGGGTTACGTTCACAACCTCCCAATCGAGAATCGCTTTCCGTTGGTCCCACTGCCACCGATGACTATCCAGCAGGCTTTCCCGCTGTCTAGGAAGTGGTGGCCTGAATGGGACACGAGGGACAAACTCAACTGCATACAGACGTGTATTGGGAGTGCTAAGCTGACGGAGCGCATAAGGGGATGGCTCGAGAGCGCAGATGGGAACCCGTCAGAGTCGGTGAAAAGGGACATTTTGTATCAGTGCCGCAAGTGGAATTTGGTGTGGGTCGGGAGGAATAAGGTGGCCCCGCTGGAGTGTGATGAGGTGGAGATGCTTCTCGGGTTTCCGAAGAATCATACCAGAGGGGGAGGGATAAGCAGGACGGACAGATATAAATCGTTGGGGAACTCGTTTCAGGTGAAATATTATATTTTTACATATCATAATAAAAACGAAAATCTTGTTCGTTTATTCTCGTCTTCGCCATCTTAGCCAAGTATGCAAAACTTTGGAGTCTGTCAGCCTGTGGATAAGGTTTATGTACTTTTTTTATTTTGTTTTATTTTTATAATATGGTTTTTTCACCTTTAATAATATTATTGGATGAGATGAAATGGTCTTAGGTATGCTTTGTTACGGGGCTGGTGCTCACGAAGGGGCTTTAGCAATATCCAGATGAAATTAGTTAGAGTTGATATCGTTCTAAATAACACCTTCTCACTATTCAGTTGTGTTATCCACATGATCCTTCAGCTGCCATCTTAAATATTATTTCATTAGCAAAAATAATACTTCGGTGCACTGCCATTATTCTCACGAAGGGGCTTTAGCAATATCCAGATGAAATTAGTTAGAGTTGATATCGTTCTAAATAACACCTTCTCACTATTCAGTTGTGTTATCCACATAATCCTTCAGCTGCCAGCTTGAATAATATTGTTTCATTAGCAAAAAATAATACATCACTGTGCTGCCAATTAGTTCTGTTTTTTTAATAGGATAAACAAAATGAAAATCCTGTGTTTTTGTTCTTGTCGATTGTTTTTTTCGTATTCATCTCTTTGGTTTCTTGGCTATGGAATCCGTTGGGTGGAGGATAAGGTCTTTTTCTGCTTTTCTTTTTCTACTTTAATTGTTATTATCGGACCAGTTAGTGTTAAACTGGAGCTGATTTCATTTTCAAATACCACCCTCTCACTATTTAGATACTTTGTACACATAATCCTTCAGCAAAAACAAAAAGAAGGTAAATAAAATATATCATTAGAAAAAATGACCTATGAATCCCTTTTCTACTTCACATTGTATTAATTCTTTTTTTTTTTTTTTAGGTCGATACAGTCGCTTATCACCTATCTGTCCTGAAGGAGTTGTACCCAAATGGAATCAACGTGCTCTCCCTATTTTCAGGCATAGGTGGGGCCGAGGTTGCTCTGCATCGTCTTGGGGTGAAGCTGAAGAACGTTGTCTCAGTCGAGAAATCAAAGGTTAACAGAGACATCGTGAGGAGTTGGTGGGAGCAGACGAACCAGACAGGGAACCTTTATGACTATGATGATGTCCAGCAGTTCGACACCCCAAGAATCGAGCAAATCATGGACAACATAGGGGGGTTTGATTTGGTGGTTGGTGGTAGCCCTTGCAACAACCTTGCTGGAAGTAACAGGGTTAGTCGAGACGGGTTGGAAGGCAAGGAATCTTCTCTGTTCTATGATTACTTCCGTATATTAGATATTGTTAGGGACCATAGCCATCATTCTCGGCATATGTAAACTTTATTGGTTTTGGTGACCTTTGATCAATTGTTTTAGGTTTCTTATTGACCCTGTTAATAATTCATTGGTCGCAGACTTGCAGTTGACTCTAATTTTTGTTTTCCTGGCGATGGTAGTATGGAAGATGCTAATGT